AAGGAAAGGCAGTGGTAGAAAATCATGAAAACAAAATTGTTGCAGTAGCAAATGCTAAAAGAGTACAAAATTTTCTTTTGCGAAGGCAGCATTTTGCTGCAAGTGACAAGAATACTTCCGAGAGAACTGAAATAATCGAAGTTGAAGAAGGAGAAGTAAGTGGATCAGAGGACACATCAGATTTTGCACCTCAAAACCAGCAGTCTTTGAGTGTGACAAACAGCTCACCTCCTCTCCACCAGTCTTCAGGTGACGACTTCAACTCACTCCAGCAACAACAGTCTCTTCAGTCTTCTGGTGGAAACTTCAACTCACCACAGCACCAACAGCCTCTTCACTCTTCTGGTGGTAACTTCAACTCACTGAAGCACCAACAGCCTCTTCAGTCTTCAGGTCATAACCTGAACTCACCTGAGCACCAACAGCCTCTTGAACAGTCTTCTTGTGGTAACTTCAACTCACCCCAGCACCAACAGCCTCTTCAGTCTTCTGGTGGTAACTTCAACTCACCGCAGCACCAACAGCCTCTTCAGTCGTCAGGTCGTAACCTCAACTCACCTGAGCATCAACAGCCTCTTCAGTCTTCTCGTGGTAACTTCAACTCACCCCAGCATCAACAGCCTCATCAGTCTTCAGGTGACGACTTCAACTCAATCCAGCACCAACAGCCTCTTCAGTCTTCAGGTCGTAACTTCAACTCATCCCAGCACCAACAGTCTCCCACCTTGGCCAACAAGTCACCCCCTTGCCATTGTGGGAATGTTGACTCCCCCCAGCAGTCTCACAATTATCAGTGTTCAGATAAAAGATACAGTGCACCACTCCAGACCTCAGATGGTAAATACATGTATAGCTTACCTCACCATCCACAGCATACAACATTAAGAGCATCTGCATCACCACATTATGATCAAGCCACATCACAGAAAGGATTCTCATTCTTTCAGAGCTTACAGCACTGCTCTGACTTTGACGTGTCAGATTTAGATCTGCCAATGAATCCCGCTCCTCACCTGGAAGCAGGAAGCCACACAATAAGAGATGATATCCAACAGAGGGAACCCTCATTCAGCAACCTGCAAACAGCATGCTCAAGTTGTCAGCCTCTGCTGATGTCACCTAACAAGAGACTTGGTAGCCTAGAAGCTGAATTTGAAAAACTAAAGAGAAAACAAAGAAAGGTAAGTGTATACTGTACCTAGAATACACTGATCAGTTTTGTTACAGATTGCTTTGATTATCTACAAACTTGTATAATATACAATATAGTTACGTTATGTTTGATGGATATATGTGGTAGTGTGTTACATTGATTATATGGTAGTTTTAAGTTAATGATGCCGGAGAGCAGAGACTAAAAGACTGTCCAAAATGAGCAGTTGCGAGAAGTGAAGCTTCCAGGGCAGCTGTGAGATCATTAAGGGCCAAAAAAGGAGGGCAGTATCTTCTGAATACACCAGGATGGCAGAGGGTGTTTTATAGTTCCTTTACATTTAAATTGTATAATTATTCATGTATGACCCTCCACTTAATTCTAATGATTCACTTTATTGTAGTACGAAGAAAGGTTAAATACCCGGTAGGATAATTAGTTGTTTCTAATCAATAATTGAAACAACTAATGATTAATTCTTCCAAGTTCATAAAAATACGGACAGATATTGAGTATTTCACTCGGGCTTATAGTCAAGTCACTTTCTTTTAAGTGTCATATCCTTCTTAACTTTTTTCAACACATTTTCGTAACAGGGAAAAGCAGTATTGGATGAAAATGCAGAGAAAGAAAATCCAAATGAGGAGAGATTCAATGGTATTACAAAGGTATTACACTGAAGTAATCATCACTCTCTGTACAAATAAATGGACACTTTACGAGATAAACTAAATTTTCAGGTAGTTAAGAGATTGATTCCACCTGTTCACTTTAAAATGAGTTTTCAGGTCAAACTGATTTCAGACTAGTTTCAATATTGTTTTTCATTTTTTATGGATTATGGTACAGCAGGTAATAATATGGTCCAAAAGAAAATGTAAATCAAACTAGCTCAAAATCACTTGACATGGAGTTCATAATTCTTTTAACTACAGCACACGGTGACACCCATGCATGTGCAGTGTACACACCTGAAATACAGTATATTTAATATTACAATCTAACAAATTGTGGCTGGGTATTGAACAAGTATATTTAGACATCAATTTGTACCCACTGAGTTCTATGAAGTAAACCATAGTCTATATAGTAAATGACCTATAGACTCCTTTCAGTTAATTCCTAATCTGGAGGAGCATTTGAAAGGTTTGTTTCTCTCAGCGGAAAGAACAACCATTGTTTTTCCTCCAGATTGGGATTTAAATGGGTCTACATGCATCTTGTCATGAGACTATTATACTATTAACATTATTATATGACTTGCGGTTGTAGCCAATATAACCCCCATTCTGATTGGCTAATACTAGGGCATTGTTCTCCCGTAATGCCCACCAGCCGATTATGGTCGTGCAAAGCCCAGCAAAAAGCCACATAATAAACAAGTTACTAACCTTAAACATTTCACCTTTATGGGAAAATCTCAAACCTCAGCCTTACCGTATTAACCTCACTATTGCTCGGTCAATACAGCAAGGTCTTGGTCTGATATTTTCTCATTAAGACCTCACTCTTGGTTAACAAGTAGTTAATATCAACTTTCCTTCTCTGTATTAGGAGGCCTTAGTCAGGTCAATTGAGGATTCCTCAGACACAAAGTCAGCAGTGGAGGTCCTAGCGAAGCAACTCTTTACAAATTATGAACTGCAAACTTCATCGATCACTGGCTTTCAGTGCAATAAAGATTATCAAGCAAGACCAGGACTGAGTCCCTCAAGAAGGAGCCTTTTAGAAAGTGAGTTAATTGAAAAGCTTTTGTGTTATTTAAGGTGGCTCAAAACAGTAATATTTCCGAGAAGCCTGGGCTCTAATGCGCACTTCAGCACTAGGCATCATGCGATCACCGGAGGGGTCGCCAGAAAGCATGTGAGATTTCAAGTTTGCAAAACTCACAGCAAACATGGGGACACAAGGCCTACTTCGTAGAACTTTGTTTCCACCTAGTTTAGTGAGCTGTTTGCGATATCACTTATTTTTATCTTCGAAAACATCCATCCTTCAGGCAATTTCAAATGAAAATTTAAACATTCTTTTAAACCGCTGTGCTGGAATGTAAACGAAAATTGTGATTGATATTGCAATTGATCACGTCGGCTATCAAGCTAAAAACCAGCAGGTTTTCTTC